ATATTCCGCAGAAATTGATGGAAAAATTCTTTATGGAAGCCTCAAAATGAATTTCAAAAGGATTAGTCGTATAAATTTTAAAATTTCTCGGGAGATGCCCTTCGGACCCCCCCCCCTCCGTGCTTGGGGCCCGGACCTTAAAACTGGCACCAGGGCCCGAGATGGGATGTGGCGGGCCTGGAAGGTTCATACGGCGTTTTTCCTTAGTATGGCAGAGTATGCGTCTTTCCGTGAGGCAGTAATGTGATCGAGAGGAGCATTAACGACCTTCCCGAAGCGCCCCCAGCGGGCCGATTATTGAAATTGATAGACAAAGCTATAGACAAAGTAGATAAAAAGGATATTGAGGGGTTCTACTGATGGAAAGGGGAGGCTGCAACAGACAAAATAGTTGGGTAATAGACCAACTAAAGGCAACCCACGGGAGACCCTAAAGTTAGTCCATCACACTCCCCCTCAGTCTACAACAACCACCCGTTCCGACGAATAGGATCGCTCCGTACTCCCAATGTCCTCTTCGTATATAGCTTTGTCTATCACTTTCAATAATTAGCCCGCAGAACCTAACTTCCTCAAAGTTGTGAGTTTCATTTCCCAACCATGGAGGTCACATGAGGAGGTTTGCACAATGGCCAGAGTGTTTCCCACCATCGTTCACTTTTCTAACGCTGCGTTTAAGTCTCCGAGCTTTCCTGTGAGATTCCCAACTCGCTAGGGTTAGAGTACCTTTCTAGGGGAGTATGGACACTAGGCCTTACGGCTGACTTAGGGTCAAAAAATGGCGGCGCTTCGTTTTGATTTATGAGGATGAGAAGGGGGTCATTGCCAACTTCTGACGGTTATCACCGACCGCACTTAACTGCCCATGCCTCAGTAAAACTAAGACGATTTTTCTCAAAAATAGCACACGATTAGTCGTAAAACTATGTAAATATGTCGTAATAATGTATTTTAGTCAAGTTCACGTTGCGATGTGCAAATAAAACTACTTTTTGAGTCATTTTTATTGATAGTTACTTGAAACGTCAGCCATTTTTGGGCCCTAGGAGGACCCATTCAGCTTAAGATAGCTGAGCTAATTAAAGGTGGCAACCGCGGTGATCATACTCTCCCTGTAAGGTACCCAAACTTAGGTGTTGGAAAAAAATATTTTTCACCATAGCTATCACGGCCAATGAATGGCCACGGTATGAATGAGATCTATGTCACATTTCCGACAACTATTGATTGGATTACATTTTACAATAAGGAACCACTATCTCCGGCTCTTCCATAAAATCACCTTTCTACATAGGGAAAGCAATGGCATGTATGTTGATTCTAAAATGAGCCAGAAATAATGGTTCCTCGTTGGAAAATGTGGTCCAATTGTCCATTATTGAGGTCTAACGAAGGTATCGGCGTGTTATAGTCCTTTCAGTGGCGAGGCGTGAATATTCGATTATCGAAATTTCTCCATTTGAAGCTATGGTAAAGAATCGATTATCGAGGGTTCGTTGCGAACACTCTGTCTATCGATCCTATTCAGTAGGTTTAAATGACAGATCAATCGATATATCGCAAAGCACGCCACGCCACTGAGTCCTTTGACCGTGGCGTTGGCCGAGAGCATCTACACTTCTACGGCGATGTCGCGACTCGAGGAAGAGGATGATTCGACCAATGGCGAAGCGTAGATCATCGGCTATCGATATTTCCCCATTTGAAACCAAGATAAAGGATCGATTTTTAAGGTGCTCAATACCAACTCCCTAGTAATCGATCCTTTTCTATGGGTTTAAATGTCAGACGAATCGATTCATCTTAAAGAACGATACGCCACTGGATGCGACTTTGAAGTTCCGCATGATCGACTCCGTGGGAACCCGCAAGAAATCAGAAGCCGGACCATACTACCGTGCTAAGGAAATACGCCGTATGAGCATTCGAATGTTGCCAAATTCCGTATCGGAAAATATTTATTTTTGAAGAAATTTATCAATATTTTTCCTTGAAATTTTCAAGCATTATAGATCAAATTACGGACAAAATTCTCTGAGAAATCGCAAGAAAAATTATTCACAATTTTTCCCGAAAATTCGTGATTTATCCAAAGAAATTTGGCAAAGTCTGAGGGCTCATAAGGCGGCCTTCCTCAGCACGGCACCATATCTCTCGTTCGCGGGGATAGAGCCTCCCCCTTCTCCTGCCCGAAACAATTTCAACAGTTGACCTCTACCAGAAAAACCTACGTGAAAAGTTCTGTCATTAAATGCTCTTAATCATACTCCAGGCTGTTTCGCTCAGTTGAAAATTTCCGATGGAATGAACCACAGGACGAAAGTGCAGGTGGCCTGAGGTCATAGTTTCCATGATCTTAGGGCACCATGGTGTCTATTCTTGACTATGCTATGCTCATTCCCTGATTTTCAGCTGGTTTTCCGGAGCTCATTCCATATGATGAGAGACCAGTTTTCTTCCACTATCCCAGGATTTGTTGGAGAAAACCATCGAATTATTTACTTTCATCTTTCAGCCGATTTTTTTGGAACACATTCAAATTTTCAGTTCCAAAAGCGCTCGCAGTGTTTACATTATCTGGTCAATGAAGCTTCTCTGGTGGTGATTTGAGGATTTAAATATGTCTTCAAGAGCGGCAATTATGGCGGCTCAGGTGCAATAACATAAAATTTAATAACAATGCGTACTTAAAATTTCCGAAAAAGAAAACGATTCGGTCTCTAACCGGTAGAAAAAGAGATTCCCAGTTTCTGGAACTAATACTCTAGGATGTTTTATTCCCTGATGAAACTTTTTGGTTGTTTTCTTGATCTTGACGAAGGGTGCTAGCATACTTCAGGGGGCCCCAGCACGCTACTACTTACACGTGCGAAGAGCAGTTGTCGAAGATGATGGTGCTAAGTAAAAACACCCTATGAACATTCAAATGTTGCCAAAATTCCTCGTGATAAGAAATATAATTTAGAAGGAGGTGATGCATGTTGTCCTTTGCGATTTTCGGATACTTCAGATTAAATTGCGAACAATTGTCTAAAAACGGGGAAAAAACTGTTGAGAACTTTCCCAAAAAATTCGTATTCGAATTCGACAACGCCTGAAGGTTTATACGGCGTTTTTCCTAGCATGGCATGTGCTGCGGTTGCAGGTAGAGTACCTGTATAGGGAGAGTAGCGACAGATCTGAAACTCCGAAAGTCCATCAGGCCTTCACCGATGCCTCCGCGAATAAAGTTAGGGCCCAAAAGGGCAGCCAACCTATGAATTTCGAATGTCCAGAGCTATTTACAAATACAATTGTTACGAACCGTCGTTTAGAAAGCATGTATTTGGTTTACTTTTTGCATAAATTTACTTATTTTTGCGAAAGAACGCTCATTTATGTACATTCTTAGCCATCTTGGTTAGAATTGAAATCTGTAGGCTGGCAGTGAAATTTTGTGTGTTAGAAGTTGCTCAGAAGGGTGGCTGCATTTTTGGGCCCTAAGCCCTCCATGAACCGAACTGTCGCTACTCTCCCTATACAGGTACTCTAGTTGCAGGGTGGTGTGGGCGACTTGGACGAAGCATTGGAATCCTTATTACTGAATGCTAAGCAGTTGACGGCGCGGCGACGCGGCGTGGCACACTATCACAGGTCGCGCCTAAAAAATACGGTCGGAGAAATTCTTTAAGATTTTGTTCAGATTCTTTTGGGAGTCCTTTTACATGAGGCTTTCCATCAACGACCTTGACCTGCTGCACTCCGGCAACAAGGGTGGAGCTAGGTGGCCCAGCGAACCGGTCCTACACTACACCCCGATCGCAACCGCGCCGCGCCTCCTCACGCACGCTGCGCCACCCTCACACCACTGCACCCCTGCTCTGCCGTGCTAAGGAAAAACGCCGTATGAACCTTCAGGAGTTGCCAAATTTCCTTTGATAAATCACGAATTTTCGGGAAAATTTGAAAATATTTTTCCTCCAATTTTTCAGATAATTTTGTTCGCAATTTCACCGCAGGTTCTTGAAAATTTCAAGGAAAAATATTTAAATCTTTCTTCAAAAATATACTATTTACTTTCTTTTTTAAATATACTTTTTCCGAGAGGTTTGGCAACTCTCGAATGTTCATACGGCGTTTTCCCTTAGCAAGGCGGTACTGACGCTGTCTGCCGCTACCACTGCTGAACGATCCCATGTGAGGAACCGTCCCTACATTACATAACGCTAAAGTAGCGATTTTTTGACAACCCCCACCCCTGTGCCTTGTAACGCTCCGTAACGCTATGCTAGACCCCCCCCCCCCCATCGATACAAAATAATGAAAAATCATCTTACATTTACGGAATAGATTGGTGTTTCCATATACAATTAGTGAAGAAAAGTGAAAGTACTCCATAGAGTATTTTCGAGATTTTTTAAAACTTCATTTAAAACTTCAACTGACGAAAAATTCTACAGAAACTCGAAAAAAAATCACTTATACTCGTCAAGTAACACTACGTTCTATACCGCCCCTCCTACCCCCTGTGACGCCGCGTAAGGCTAGAAGAGACCCCCTCCTCCTCTTTGGAGCCTCGTGTAATTTAGGGACGGCCCCTTAGTACGCGGCTCACGTCCAAGCTCTTAAAATGAGCGAAACCAGGCAAGGTGTGCCTTAAGATGGAAATTCATGTTGCTCAGTGTTGCAAAAAAAAAAAACGGTTCTTCGCGCCAAATAAACCCCTCCCACCCCCAACCTACCCCTGTGAGACATAATTTGGTTGTGGCAAAATCTCACAAGAAACGGATTTATTGCGATCGTTAATTTTTCTTCATACTTAACTAGAATATATGTTTTGAATTTTTGACATGCTAAAACTTGATTGCACATCCTACATATAAAAGTTGTCGAACTTGAACGGTCAAAAATAAAAACTGGGGAAGTGCAAAACTCCAAACATTAAAAAATGAAAACATTAAGAAGTGCAGAGAACCAAAAAACAAAAAAATTGAAACATCAGTAAATGAGTAGGTACTTACAATTGTTTGCTTTTTAAGAACTGGTACTCCTCCATCAAAAACGAAAATAGGTTTCACTTTGAAGTAGAGTAATTTGCAGATGCGATGGAACAAACCAAGCAAATGAGCATTGGCCACTGTGCCGCCGCCTGAGTCTTGATACCCCTTGACAAGTTGGTGCAACCATATGGATACATCTACAATCCAAGCTAATTAAGGAAAATTCGTAGATTTTAAAAATTCACAAGAAATAAGACTGATGGGAGTCCACTTCCACTTTTTGACAAAATAAACATTTTCGATCCAGTGCCTGGAATGAATAAGGGTCTATTCATAAGTTACCTGAAAAGTAGGTCAAAGAAGTGAGATTATGCTCTTGAAGACTGCTTACTGGAGAATTTTTTTAAAAAGATTTAGATATATTTATATATATTAGCCCTTGAGGACCTACTTACGTTGCTGATCGTCATAATAAATTAACTAACTAACTAATGTTAGTTAAATATATTTCTTCAATTTATCTTTTTAAATATGTTCAAGGGCGGATTTATTAGTATATCACTAAAATTGTGTAAAATGCATACCTCCTGTTTATGTTGCTGACTACATACTTAGTGAATAAGAATATGTCCAAAATTATTCAAATAAAATGTCAATTTTGAATTAATAAAATAAAATATACGTAGTTTTGAGCAACAAAGGGATGAAGGAAGTACGTATTTCGCAATTCAAAATTGAAAAAGATTGAAAAAATTTCCCAAATTTTCAGGCCCTGAAAAATTACCATTATCCTTCCAATAAAATTAGAAGAGTAAGCAATGACAATAAGAAAGTAATTTCAGTAATAAGAATGAAATATAATGAAAAAATTGCGACAGTTTAATAATTTTACGATGTAAAGCAGCATGTCAGTTATAAAATGCTTTCTGAGATGATGGTCCATGATGGTCGGTGGTGTGCTAATTGATAAATATCCTAAACGAGAGGTGAAATGGTGAAATAAATAACACCTGAAGAGAAAAAGCAAATATAGGATCTTGAAGCGTACACAGACACCCATCAGAGGAATAGAGAGAGAGAGACTCAAGTTGAAAATAATGATCACTGAAATCATGGAGAGGAATGATGAGAAAAAGAGAAGACTAAAAAATTGCAGTCAGCATGGGAAAATTCGAAGAATGGAGAGGATGTCAGAAGGCAGATTATAATACAAATTAAGAGCAGCACAGCTTACTTCAGACAATCCGGTAGTATAATGAAGCTTCAAGTTCCCACAATTCTTCTCCGAGCATAAAAGAATCTGTCTTCCTGAGGTGACGATCAAAGCTACTTCTACCTCCTTGCTAGTTGCAACTAACTAACAACTATGTTGCTACAAAATTGCTACCGTTGTTTGATTAAGATTAAAGGATTTCTTGCGAAAAAAAAAAAAAAAAAACTCAATGCATATTACAGTTAGTTACTTAATTTAAAACAACAATCAACAACTATGGCTTTTAGGTCCGAGTTCAAGGGAGGAAAGTCTTCTCCGGTCAAAGTCGGTATTTGGGCAGAGTTTTTATTCAACAAAAAATTCAGACTGACAAAACTAAGCAGTGAAGCACAATGTTTTCACTGGGTGAGTATGTCCGTTTATTTGAGCTTATGGTATGGATATTAAGACTGAAAAAAAACCGTTTTTGAAGTATTTGGAAAAATTTTTGGGCATGTCAAAAAACAATAAAATCCGTTTTGTAACAGGTTTGAAGAAGTTAATATAACAACGCACTGACTTAGAGAGCATTTCACAGCAAATTAATCCAGGACTGGAAACTGTTTTTATCATTTCCTTAATGCATCAGCATTAGGAAAAGTTCAAAAACAAAATGTGAGTAACATAAGAGGTAAAAAAAGAGGCAAATTGTAGGTATCAAACTTTTTTTTAAATATTTTCGAAAAAGGCAAAATTTCAATTTTTGATACCTCCCTACAACAAGAAAACGCTCAACTTCTGAGTCTCTCTGTACTTCAATTCGTTTATACTTTTCAGCCTTGACTGACGATTGCTTCCTTGACACATTCTTTTTCATGATTTCACGGATAAATTTGAACAAGATGATTAAAAATTGCAGAATTATAGCTACCTTTTGGTCTCTTCTGAATTGCTGCATTATAATTTAGGTAGGGCTTTGTTAATCAAAAAAAAGGAATGGACATTAAAGGTTGGAGATAATACTCTGGCATGCAAGATTTTTTTTTTTTTTTTTTTTAAATCTATACTAATTCATCATTAGCAGAGTTCTTCTCAACTCAATGTCTGAAATTGAGGCCAATGAAAAAAAACGTTTCCAGGCTGAGCATCCTTAAAACTAGAAATGTTTTCCAGATAACTTTGTGAGAACTCAATTGAGCGACTGAACGCATAATACTACTTCCTGCAAGAACTCTTAATGTACCTACAGCTGTTAAAATTTCCCCCTGTAAAAAGCGGCCCCCTCCAAAAAAAAATGAAGCAACCCGGAAATCAAAAGTACCATAGGTACAAAGCCATATTCAAATGGTAGAATCTGATTTTAATTGAGATTCAATTCACTGAACTTGTGATTGTGCAATAATGATGAACTATGTACATGCTTCATAGAATTTAAATAGATGAAATCTCAGTTTAGAGAAAAGATTTAAGGTGCAATTATGCGCAATAGGTGAAAAAAAGGATACCGACAGCCAAAGTCTTGTTTTCAAGTGTTTCTACGGGCACTGGTTTCCCAGCAGGCTCGATAAGTTTCCAAAGTCCATGAACACCCATTATGAATTTTATTCAACACTTGCCAGTGAGGAGTTGGTTTCACATGAACATTCCTTGTGTTCATGGGGCAAAAAAGGATTGCTCATTGTCAAATAGAATCGGACCACACAATAAACAAACCACTTGATATTACACAATGTGACACGAAATGAAATTAAACTTCCGTTACCACCGAGACATTCACTCGAACTATAAGACTGCACCCAGATAGTGCTGAAGCTAATATAACTGAATTAAAATTACAAAATTTTAAGTAAAATAAGCGATGTTGAACGCAAAGTACGATTCTGCATCCTGCATGTGTTTGTTGTGTTTTGGAGAGGTTTGAGGTTATGTTTACCTAAGTGGAGGGGAGGGGCAGCATATGAGTGGAGGGGCGGGGGTTGTGAGTGGTGGAGAAGCAAGGTTGTCAATTCAACTCTCTACTTTCAGTTTTTTTTTTGTGTGTGTATGTACTTTGGTTTTTTTCCTATTACAACGTACGGAGGATGCGGAACAGTGTTTGAAACTCACAGGCGCCAACGCGCCAAATGCGCTTAAAAAATGAAGGCTCTGCGCCAACATGGCCCCTAAAAATTGTCCCCTAAAATTTGGATTTTCACAGGAAGTCACATAAAGAAAGAAAAACAAATCTATTTGAATTGAAAAAACTCAGAATTTACAGCACTACAAGTGAAAGCTTGCTTTTTATATTTTTCACAATTTCATTCTTAGTTCTGTTGTCTTTAGTAGCTGTAACCCAAGTTACAGCTACTTACTAGTTTTGTTACGAAAAAATATTGCGTCTAACTTTTCACTAATTGCGCCGTAATATACAGGCAAAAAGTCAATTTGGCCCCCTTAAAAATCTTCAATGGCGCCTAAAAATGGGGCTTGATGCGCCACATGGCTCCTAAAACTCAGAGGTGAGTTTCGTACACTGATGCGGAAGCATCAAATCAAGGCAGGGCCGGATTTAGGGGGTGGCCATATGGGCCGCGGCCCATGGCGGCAAATTTGGGGGCGGTAAATTTTGCAATTTGTTTAAATGTAGCTATAAAAAAAAATCGGATTCAGAAAAAAATTACAAACGAGAAAACGCGACAAAATTTCTCATTTCCTGAGAGTACAGTAATTTCTAATTTTGACGTATTTCGGTGATACAATAGACAGCACCTTTAATTAGTCGAGTTAAGAGAGAAACCAAACACGCAATTTGGCCTGGAACGGCGCGGCGTAGAGAGCAATGATGACGAGGACTTGAGAAGAAAAGGAGAAGCCCTCGGCGCGGCGGTCAGCGTGTAACAGCGCCTACAAAACTGCATGAATACTTCACGCATTGCATCAAACACTGTGCGGTCAGCAGCGGTCGGCGTGAAACGCATGTCGCCTACAAGACTGCATGAATACTTCACGCATTGCGCCTAATACAGTGCGGTCAGCGCGGCGCGCCGGCGCGGCCGAAGTTAAAATTATTAAACCACCTCATGTTTGTTCTCTCATAATTTTTTCGTTCAATACTTATAATGGAAGGCCTTGTCCACACAGAGATAGGTTTCCGGAACTTAACTTCCGCGCAAAGTTTCGTGAACTTTTGCTAGTAGTGTTGACAGGGCTTTCGCAAAAAATGTTTTCAACACGAGTAAACGCGTCTTAAACCCTCCCCCTCCGGCACGTTCACTTGATGCTTTTTCTGGATGTTTCGGAACGGTAGAGAAGGGGGCGGCAAAATATAGGCGGCCCATGGGCGGCAAGTAGGTAAATCCGGCCCTGAATCAATGGTGGCATGGAACGTAAAAAGGAAATGAAAGATTGGGTATTTCAGTGAAATATTTCGTGAAATTTCACAAGGCTGTGAAATATTTCACATTTTTCAGGGGCTAGAGTATGCAACCCGCACTCAAACACACTACAATAGAAGAAAGTCACAATTTTTACATTCTACGAAACATAGAAAGGAACCGGTATTTTTCAATACCTTTCATAAATTACTGAAATTTAATGAAATATTTTACGTGAAATTTCAAGATTTTGTTTTTCATGAAATTTTGCCACCCTGATCAAACCTTTCGGTGCCGTTCATAAAAGACATAACACTCTCATGGGGGGGGGGGGGGGGGG